CAGGAATTCATCAGGATCCATCATGAACATCTTAACTTCTCCAAACATATTCTCTATCTAACATATCCTTTTTACATTGGTTTCAAGTTGATATTTTTAGTTTTAATATTTTTGTGTTTTATATCTGCAGGATGTTTTTGTATCAAATATTTAAAGTTTCTCTCTATTGGTATTGAAGTAGATTATTGACGAAACATCCCACCATTACTGATAGGCAGGGGCGTAACAAAAAGAGTTGGAATCCAGGCAAAACACTGTGAGAGTGGGGTGGTAGGAACCCAGCTCCCACCATGGGGGTGGGAGGTAGCACTCTCTTACCCATGCCGGGAACTCCTAAACCGTCTCAGCTGGGCTGTTGCTGCCATCACATATGCTGTCCTCTGGCCACCTCAGCTGTTGCAGTAACTGGGGACTGTTTGGGGAGTTCCTGGCATGGGTATGCTGCTAGGGCAAAGACTCTGCAGGGTTGGGGATATTTCTAGCAACCCTTCTAGCTTGGTGCCTGGGGAAGGTGCCCCTCTCACCCAGCCCTAGTTGCATCACTCCTGACAGAAGAACTACACTGAGTTAAATGTCTGTGCTCTACTCTTAGCACCTAGCAGTCTCTGTACTTTGGAGTGTTATGATTATGGCTAGTGTACCAATCTTTTAGTGTATTGAGAGAAACTTAGAAAACTGCACTAAAATGTGTATACTTTAAAGACTCCTCTTTAGCAAATAGCTGCTTAATTTTCTGGACTGTACAAGCATCAAACAGATGAATTTGAATACAGCCTTCATTATCATTATATAGCCTTCATTATTAGATCCTAATTATAAACTAAATGCTATACCAGCGTAGAGATCTTTACAGAAAAAAATACCTGCTGCAAAGATTTTATAGACTAGGTTAGGAAGAGAACAACAGGAGACAACAGAGGAAGTAGTTGAGTTGAGAAAGAACAAGGGCAAAGACAAAACTCAGGTGATCATTTGGGAAAGTAATGTATATAGCTTGCACTTACATAGGACTGCTGATAGTACAGTGCAGTGTAGACCAATCTAAGCAAGCTTTAAACTAGCTGGCATGGGTTCCAGCAGTAGCACAGATAAAATAGCACTGGTTAACCCACCTGAGTAGTTACCCAAGTTCTTGGGTGAGTTTTGTAGCCTGTGCTGTTTCATGTTGCAGGACTGGGCTGTACAAGCAGCCAAACTCATAAGCTTAAAAGTAAGTTCAGACATGACTCACTACACTGCCATCACAAGAATAGTTGCAGTATAGATGGCTGGAGGTCCCCTTCCAACTCTTGGTGGATCCCCCAAATGCAACAATCACTTAATTTACAGAAAAATCTCCAGAACTATCTCTTCATCAGGCTGAGGAAGCATCTGCAGTTGGTGCGCGCTCTTCCTGGATGGAATGAACAGTAAAGAAGCCAGAGGCTGGAATGCAATGCAGACAAGAAAGGCAGTCAGTGAAAATGTAAATTGAGGAGTTAAGGGGTGAGAGACAGGCTTGGGGTTGAGGGGAGAAGGGGGATGAATGTAGCAGGGAAACAGTGGAGAGGTAGCTAGGAAGTTAGATGTCAGGCAGGTTATAATGTGGCATAAATCCAATGTCTATATTTAGTCCATGATTTTTTGTATCCAGGAGGTTGATGAAGTGAAGTTCGTAGGCTTGTCTGTGAAAGGTGTTCTGTAAATTTCCTTTGAGGATTAGAACTGCGAGATTGGAGAGAGAGTGGTTTTCTTGTGAGAAATGTGTCCCCACAGATAACTGGGTATTCTTGCCTTTAATAGATTTCCAGTGCACGTTCATTAACTGTGCACCAGAATGAACGCGCACCAGAAATCTATTAAAGACAAGAATACCCAAATACCCACGCTGTAATTAGTGTTAGAACAGACTCCCAGCTCATGTATAGGCACCCTAAACTACCACCATGCCTTCTTCTGCCTGATTTTAAACTAACGTGAATTGCCACTTCTGTCCTGACAAAGTGTTCAAACATGATTAGCAATTCTGCAGACCTGTGTACTTTATTGTAGTTGAAAACCTTTCAGGAGCCAGACATTTGGGGAACTGTAATATCCTCCCTCAGTTACAGCTGAAAGATCACTAAAGTTTAAATGGCTGCTTCTATTGCATCACTTCCCTTAACCACAATGTAAGTGTGCATGAAATAGCACTTTATGTGACAGTACAGCTGTGGGAACAGAACTCAGCTATTAGTTGGTCCTGAAGAATCAACAACATTAAGGGCCCCCATGAAACAGTGGGGTCACACCATTCCACTTCTTCAAGAAAGGATTGTACATGTTTTAGTCTATTTAATACCGAACAAATTTTCCTTCATATTTGGGACATAAAAAACCAAGACAGGCACAAAGTAGCAAAGGTAAAAATGGTTTTACTGACCATCATGTTGTTAACAGACTATAGAAAAAGCAAAGGGACATCCTGGTATATGAGCACATGGCTAAGATCAGCGTTCCTGATGTTTATGAAACTTAAACCGGGTGGCACAGAGATCCTCCAAGCACAAAAGCCAAAAGAGACCAGGAGGCCACAATGCCACAAATCCTACAAAAGGAAAGAATATTGAAACATCATTTAAGCTGTTTACAATTACAGAGGTGCTTCTGAAAGTGAGACTCCTCCCTGAAATATGTCAGGTCTAATATTAACATTTTCCTGCACTCAGTCACTGCTTTTACAAACTCTTGAATGTTTTAGCTCTTCCCTGTCTCTCTCCCTCTGTCACACACACTTTAATTCTCCACTTTTTCCCCCACAGGTCATTCCAATATTGAGCTTTGTACAGATTAGCATCCATCAATGAAGACAGCATGATGGTTTTGGGAGGTCCACAAAAGAACATTTAATTGGTGATCCAAATAAGAATAATTTACACAAGCTTTTTAAGTCACTACAGATGCCTCGCCTAAAAATATTTTCATTGGGGTTCACTATTTGTTAGTATCAGACATTACTTAATTGGTAGCACATTAGTCAGTTGCAGATATACAGCAGAAGGGAGATCAGAATGGATTATCATCAGGGATTCTGGTTCTCTCATGAAAGTCACAAATTCTCTGATAAAACCCCCAAAATCTGCAATTAAAATGAAACACCACTATGTATATAAGTATCAGTTTAACACAATGTTTTATTGGTCTATTTACAAATTTAAAGCAATTTGCAAGCCTACCACTGCCTCAATCAATATACTAAAATAAATTCTAAATACCTATACATTTTGGTGTTTGGTTTTTTATCATGAAAAACCAGGACATGGGTCCAGACCTATCACTCTCCACCCACAGCCCTCCTGACCCTGCTGGTCCCCCTTGCCCCCCACTCACAGCCCTCCACCTCCCCAACTGCCATGACTATGGGGTCAGGAACCGAGGGCTGCAGCCCTTCACTGCCCGCAGCGGTGCCTGAGCCCCAGCTGCGAGCCCCACGCTACCCTGGCAAGGCGCCCCTGCCCACCCAACAGTAGTGAGGGGCACAACTCCAAGCCACCACCCCTGCTGCTGCCCAGCAGGCAGGGGGGTTCCTTGCCAGGGTGACATGGAGCTTGCAGTGGCACAGAGCTTCCCTGCCCAGCCCTGCTGCACCAGGCCCTGTCCAATGGGCTGTGGAGGCCCTGGCTTGGGGGGAATAGGGTGGGGAGCCCAAGCCCACACCTTCCCCACCCTGCACACAGATCTGGGGGCACATGACTCCCCCACCCCCCTCAGAAGCGCACACAGAAGCAGAGAGCCAGCCATCCCCCACCCCCCAGATGAGCCACCCGTGGTCCCGTCCCACTCCCTGCCCAGGACCTGCAGCCATGCATTGTGGCTCCAGGCCCCAAGCCCCACACACCCACCAGCTAGGCAGCAGCCCCAGCCCTGCCCAACTTCCTTCCTCCCTCCCTGCCTATGGGACCCTCAATTCCTCCCCCCACCCCCTCCAGCCAGACTCACCTGCCAAAGCCGCTCTCCAGGCTGCCATGTGCATGTACATGCACATGGTGTTCCCTGACTGACCACCCTCCTCCCACTCCCCCCAGCCCCTTGCAGGCTGGAACTCTGCCACCTGCAGAAAGCTCTTTGCAAAAGTAGAAAATCCATGCGTTTCTCCATTAAAATGAGAAATCTGCATTTTTCTCAGTTAAAGGGGAAAATCTATGGTTTTTTTCTGTTTTTACATGGAAAACAGAGAACCCAGATCCCTTATTATTCACAACAGATCATTGGTACTTACTGTAGCAAGCAGTTCACTTGTGGTGAGTGCCTCCAGTAGTGATAGAAAGAAATCCGTAAATTGGGGTAATCTTTATAATCTTCCAAAACAACCCTGACGCTGTAATAAATGAATCACATCATGAGGTACATCTCCCATGCAGCTCTTACTGTCTTTTGAAGCTGGGACAAAAGTCCCTTTTATATATAACATCATCAGCAGCAGAACAAAAGGATATGGGGGGAGGGTTATTGGGTGAGAGTTCAGAAATTTTTTATTGCTTACTTCTTAAAATTATTGGAGAGCAGCAGGAATTGGTTCTTGGTCAGCTGTCTGACATCAAACCTACACAGACCTTTCAACTCCTGATAGATCTGCTCTTCATTCACCCCAGGCCACCCCTGAACACTGGCAATCAGGAGAGGGAGATGGCGGCTGGGGACATCTGCACCAGAGAAATTCTGGAAAATAATGAGGTAAAAACCAAGCCAAAGATTTAATCCACATCTGACTATTGTTTTTAATATTTCCATAATTAAACACAAAAAGGGAAAAGGAAAAAGAAGCAAAGAGTGACATTCAAAATAAGTAGTGCCTGCTCTACAACAACAGGGCATTATTTTTTCTCCTTGGGTCACAAAACCCAAAATGCAAGTTATCAAGAGTCCACAAGAAAATAAAGAAACAAGGTAACATCAGTCAATCTCTCCCATGGCATCCCTTGCTACTAATCACAGGAGTGGAAGCAGGAATACCCAGACAACCGTTTCTCCTAGAGTTCCACTCCATTATAACTGCTGCAGTGAGGAAAGGGGCATTTTGGTTGCAGAGAAAGAATATACTTAATTTGTAACATGACAAAACAGATGACCTACATATTTGGCTTTTAGAAAAAGGTCAACTATACTGTCACTGAGAAGCCTTTGCACAGTCAGACACCAGCTCGACCATTTCTTCCACTCACCAATGGGAGCAGCTGATGTACTAGCTTTGTGATTCAGAGAGAGTGTAAAACAAACATGCAGCAATTTGTACTCACGATTTTTGAGACAGAAGCTCGGATGAGATTCACCTGGTTCAGGTACTTAGCTAATACATTTAGATATTGAGAGAAAGAGGGACCATTCTCTTTTGTGTCACTGTACCAGAAAAAAACAAACAAACACATGTCGACAAAAAACAACACGATAATCTGTACTACATCAAATATATAACAATGTGACTTTGGAGAATTCATGGCTACAGTAGCCTTTTTAAAGGGCAGGGGATAACAAGGATAATTCATCTAGACCAGGGGTATCAAACTCACTCTGGCCCCCATGTCAGATCCAGACCTGGCAACTCACTCTGACTCCATGTCAGATCCAGACATGGATTAACACTGCTGTTGTTCACACCCCTGGTGCCATAGCTGGGAAATCTGCTGGCAGGCCCTGCCCCCAGAAGCAATGTGGGGCAGGTGAAACAACTCCATAGGTTGGCTCTTTGACACCCCAATGGTCTAGATCAGGGGTTCTCAATCCCCAGGCTGCGGCCCAGTGTCGGGCCATGACGGGTCAGCTGCCAGTCTGCAGCATGGTCAGCTGCTGGACCAGAAGTGGCCGCGGACCGCGGCCCTCCAGAGCTGGGTGGAGAGGCCACGGCTCCTTCTGCAGGGCCCACGGCAGTGCAGGGTTTGGCCCACCCCGCCACGTGGGGGGGTGGGGGTATCCTTACCTATCTACTGGCCAGAAATTCCAGCCACGGTCAGTTGTGATTGCTGGGCCACAGTTTGCCACGCAGCAGCCACTTCCAGGCTGCGGTTTGCCAGGACATGGCATAAAAACTTTGAGAACCCCTGGTCTAGTATAAACATGGTACTGGTGAACAATCCCGAAGTATGAAGTCCTCAGTGTACACAACAGATACAGCACGTGCATGGCAGTTCACATGCCCCTGAAGCTATCTTACCAGTGTGCCTCAGCGATAACAGAGAGAGAGAGAAAGCACATCTACTGCTAAGAAAGTAGCTTGGTTTCAGTGCTCCATATTCTCAAAAAAAACCCAAGAGTAAACAAACAGTGGAGAATGGCTGAACAGATGCACATGAGGATCTTTACTAAAGCTGCCAAATGTTTCACACAGGTAGGAAACTACCCATCAGATGGCAGGGAAAGAATGTCATCCTTATTAGAATAAGTTAGATTTGAAAGAAAGAGCAACTAAAGAAAGAATTCTATGACCAGCCCCTTTGTGCCAGGTCATGCCCTGGATTGGTTTTTAAAGATGCAAGTTGGAATTCTTTCCAAAATTGAAATGTGTTACGTACTGCTTGAAAAAAAGAAGCTAGTTACTTGCAGCAATGGGATTTTCATTTTTTTTTTAAATTATTCACAAGAGATAATGCTGTTTACTCATCACCATGAGATGAGCAAACTAGAACTATTTTCCAGAAGAGCCATGAACATAACACAATTCCCAAAGAGAAGTTAATGAACATTACTCACCAAGGTATTCTGCATAGAAGCAAGTGAGCTACTTTCAGAAGAACTAGATGGACAGACAAGAAAAGCGATGACATTACAAAAAAGCTGGAGAAACAGAACTAAAATAACCTTCTGACTCAAAAGAAATGGAATGAGCAAAAACTTACAGACTCAAGGAAACGTGTAAGTATACACATTTAACACAAAGCCAAAAGGATATTTTACTAATTTACCAATAAATAAGAAATGCTACCTAGTAATGAATAAATGTGATGCAAATATGCAATTTAGCTGGGAAAAAACTTCTGTTCAATTACATTTTTAGGGTGGCTGTAGATGTGCAGGGATGCTGCAATTACATGTTGGAACAGATTTGATTAACTGAGTCTGCTGGAGTGTGCTAATTAGCGTGCTCCTGCAGCCTCCACGTCTTGCATGTTCAGCGTCTCTGTGCTTCAAAATAGCAGCAGGGGCGCTTTAACTAGAACTCAATAAACAAGCTTTAGTTAAAACACTCCCACCATCATGCTGAAGCACAGGACATTGAACACATAAGACACTGAGGGCGTTTTAATTAGTCTCTCTCAGAACTGCTCTAATTCAAGTGCCCCCACACCTCCTTCCTTTCCCCCACATGCTCAAAACACATGTAAAAACACCCTTACAGAATATTTTATTTTACCTGATCCACAAAGAAATGCATCATAGGCTGCCTCATGAGGATATTTCTCTTCAGCTATGAGAGTCCAACAACACAGAGAATGAATCAGAACATCTCTAAAACTCTATGCAAACTATTCTGAATCAGAATCTTCTTTTTCTCAACACTCAAGCATCAGATGCATGCTCCTCTCTGTGCATTTCCTGTCTTTTCCTCACCCTTTATTATCTTCTGATTCTCCTCAGGAGCTTAAAAAATGACACTAAGGAGGCAGCAGTTGGGCCAGTAACTAAGAAAAGATGGCATTGTACTTAAACCTTAAAATTACTTCAAGAAAAGGTCTTGATTGTGCCAACAGGCAGGGAAAACCAGCCTATATCCACCATGCCACTTACATATCCATATATCATTTATATTTGGATTCCTATGGAATAAAGACGTCTGAACTACCTGCTTTGTCCACACAAAACCTACCATATTTTGAACAGTCACTTGCATGAGAAATCACTGGGCATGTCGGGTTTGTGGGATTCAGGTCACTGTTGGAAAGAAGCGTAAGATTTTTGTTAGTCTCCAACACTTCTGGTGGAAAAAGTTTTTGGTCCACATTTGCTTGCCCCCTTCTTTGTTACTTTAATACAATCACCAAAGAGATTTCTGAACAGAGCTTTCTCTACCCATAACTATTTGAAGTCACAGAACTGGATTTTACAGAAGTTTAGCATTGACTAACAACAAAGGGGGCTATGTGGTTCATTTCCCTTCACACCAGGTTGAACGCTTATTCCCAATGCCTGAGTTTTCACCCATGGACTAAACTGTGGGAAACAGGAAAGGAAAGGGACAGATGGAAAAAGTCCAGAAGAGCCAAATTTTCTTAGAGATCTCAGGGCAGGTCTCTGTAAGCGGGAATTCCAACCTTCCCTGCTTACAGAGAGGCATCCTAAGATTCCCTGGGGCTCATCTGTAAGTGGGGCAGGCGCTCCTGGGTCTTGAGAGGCCCAGTCCTGCCAGAATTCGTAGGGTGCACAGAATCAGGCCCCTCAAACCCCCAGAGCACCCATCTGGGGTGGCAGGAGAGTGTGGGCAGTTCTGGATTGCCCATACTCTCTTGTCACAGAGCAAATAGCCATCTGCTGCAATACTTTTTGTCGGGGCCACTGATATAGCACAGCAAAGGGTAGGGATGTCTGTTTGTGCCACCATAAAAATTGTAATGGAGGCAAATAGGCAACATCAGGTGATGTCTGTTTCTACCCCCAGTTACAATCAGAAGGGGCCAAGCATGTTTACGACATGAAAATTAAGCATACAAAAAGCTCACAAATATTGGATGCTTTTTGCATCCAAAGCAGACTAGTGCTTACAACTGCCTCTTCTAGATTCATCGTAAGTACATGGCTGGCATTCTACTCGCTTCCCCACCCTGCCAATTTATATAGTCCTGGCCATAACCATAGGCTGCAATAAAATGAGAAGGGAATAAAAACCCTTAATGAAGCTCCAGCAGTTTCAGATTGTGAAGGGTGGTATTCTTCCCTTCCACTCAGCAGGGAAACGCATGCTGCTCAGCCAGAGAAGACTTCTAGCAGAATATAAGGCAAGTCAATTCAAAGGTTCCTCTACTTACTCCATTTCTCTACTCATTTCTGTAACTGGCAGCTGGTATAGACTGATCTAGACAGGGTGAACAAGAAAAGGCAGCATACTGGATTCTTATTTCACCTGTGAAAGAGCATGAGGATGGGAAGTAGGATTGTCCTAATCTATTCTGGACTATAAAATGGCAGGTGCTATCCCAGCCCAGTCACTGCCTGCAAGAACTTACCTTAGATCAGCGACTCTGAAAGCAAATGGAGATCATATACATGTTAGCTGGTTTGTAGGGCTGTTTTGTTTGTAGAGATGCAAAGGCCAGGGAAAAAACCCAGAAAAATACAGAAAAAATGTTTTTTTTCCCATTTTTTTCCCAAGGATTTTTTTCCTTTTTTTTTCCAATGGAAAAATTGGAAATTTGGGGAAAGACTGAAAAAACCCTCTTATGAAATATTTTTTTTAGAGTGATGAATTAAATGCTTTTTAAAACAAGGTTTTCAAATATTATTTATTAAAGCTGCCTTTTACTCCCTCAAAATGATTTCTAATAACTATATAATATCAAGATGTTTATGTAAGAATCTATACTATTAGATTATTACAATTCCTTGATACAGTAGACCTGATGCAACTCTCGAATCCAAGATGCATTTCTTTCAGCAAAGGGCACTGCCAGCTGCACAGGAGGAAGATGGAAGGATCCAGGACCTTCTTCTTTGCTTGTGTATTTCTGCACTACCTGCAGCCTTCTTTCCTTTGGTGATCTTTGATTTAGAGTTTGGGGAAACAGAGTAATATGTCCTCCTCCTGAGTCCTGACTAGGCCCTTCAACCTGGTCACCTCTCCCTCCAAGGACTGGGAGTAGACACTGGCAGCTCCCTGCTACAGGGAAACAAGCAGCTTATTGCCATTCTTGCTTGTGTGAAGAAACTGTTAAAGTCCTGTTGTTTGTAGCAAAGCCTCAGAGGAAAAAGAAACCTAAAAATGTTGGTGGTGGAATGGAACCTGCCTCCTCCTGGACCCTGTGATCCACAGAAGTATCTAACAAACTGCATCTGGCAAAGCACAGGAGCTGAAAGCAGACTTCTTGTTTACTGAAAGGTAAGAGTTTCAATTTCTTTGAGTTCGGTATATTAAATTATATTTTCAGTTAGTATAGTTTCATAATTTATGTGATTCATAATGGAGTTCCTACCAATCTGATGCTTTCTAAGCAAATCACCCTCTACCCTTACCTTAGCAATGAGGTGAGGTCTGAGGGAAGGGATGGTTCACAGTTATCTTACTGAGAGCTCCCCTCCATCAATTACTACATTTTTCACATGCTGCAGTTTAGTTTTTATATATGTAACCTCGCTATTAAATGACGTATTTCCTTTTTTTTCCCCTCAGCAACATGGTGCAACCATCTTCTACCAAATGGAAGCATTTCCACACTGCAACTGCAAGTCATTCTGAAAAAAAAATCTGTGTTTTGCAAATACTATCAAATTAAATATGCATTTCCAAATGCTATCTGGATGACCAAACACATTCTTGCACGTATGTAGTGTCATGTAGACAAAAAAAAAATCCTTCATGAGTGTGAGTGAAATAGATCATGACAACAGTGGAAGCAGCACTTGCAAATGTTTTTGAACCAGAAGTCCTCCTGTTTCTTCTGTAACATCAGCAAAGTGTTGTCTACTCAACATCGTCAAGTAAACAGATATCTCAACCAACTGTTTCTAAAAGACTTCCAATTACTTCATTGTAGACAAGATGACACCCGAAGAGCAAGAAAAAATTGACCAAGCTCTTGCAAGAGCAATATATGCTTCTGGGACACCATTATAAATTGCTGAAAGTGCACATTGGCAGGCAGCATTTAAATTAAGAGCATCATACCATTTGTCCAGCAGACATTCTTTGAGCAAGCTTCTTCTGGAGTCAGAATATGAATGCATAATGCAATCTGTGCATGAAAAAAATCAACGAAGCATTGCGTCTTGCAGTACTTACTGATGGGTGGAAAAATGTACGGGGAGAAGGAATCAAACTTTGTGATAACAACACCTCAATCAGTTTTTTATAAAAGCATTGAAACAGGAGAGAACAGACATACTGCAGGGTATATCATAGAAAGTTAGGGTTGGCAGGGATCTCAGGAGGTCATCTAGTTCAATCCTCTGCTCCAAATAGGACCATCCACCACTAGATCATCCCAGCCAAAGCTTTGTCTAGCCGGGTCTTAAAAACCACCAAGGATGGAGATTCCACCGCCTCTCTGGTAACCTGTTCCAATGCTTTACTACCCTTCTAGTGAGAAAGTTTTTTCCTAATATCTAACCTAAACTTCCCTTGCTGCAACTTGAGACCTCAGCTCCTTGTTCTGTCATCTGCCACCATTGAGAACAGTCTAGCTTCATCCTCTTTCAAATCACCCTTCAGGGAGTTGAAGGCTGCTATTAAATCCTCTGTCAGTCTTCTCTTCTCTAAACTAAGTAAACCCAGTTCCCTCAGCCTCTCCTCAGAAGTCATGTGCCCCAGCCCCTGAACCATTTTTGCTGCCCTCTGCTGGACTCTCTCCAATTCATCCACAACCTTTCTGTAGTGGGGGACCCAAAACTGGACACAGTACTCCAGATGTGGTGTCACCAGTGTTGAATGGAGGGGCATAATCACTTCCCTTGACCTGCTGGCAACACACCTACCAATACAGCCCAGTATGCAGGTAGCCTTCTTGGCAACAAGGGCACACTGCTGGCTCATATTCAGCTTATTGTCCACTGTAACCCCCAGGTCCTTTTCTGCAGAGCTGCTGCCCAACCAGTCAGCCCCCAGTGTATACTGGTGCATGGGATTGTTCCGTCCTAAGTGCAGGAATTTGCACTTGTCCTTGTTGAACCTCATGAGATTTCTTTTGGTCCAATCCTCCAATTTGTCTAAGTCAGTCTGAATCCTAGCCATACCCTCCAGTGTATCTACTACTCCTCCCAGCTTGGTGTCATCTGCAAACTTGCTGAGGGTGCACTCTATGCCATCTTCCAGGTCACTGATGAAGACATCGAACAAAACCAGCCCCAGGACCAACCCCTGGGGCACTTCACTTGATGCCGGCTGCCAGCTATACATTGAGCCATTGATTACTACTCTCTGATTCTAATGCTCCAGTCAGTTTTCTATCCACCTTACAGTCCATTCATCTAGCCCATACTTCCTTAGTGTACCTGTGGGAATGCAGTGGAAGACAGTATCAAAAGCCTTCCTAAAATCAAGGTATACCACATCCACTGGTCTCCTGCATCTATGGAGCCAGTCATCTCATCTTCATAGAAGGCAATCAGGTTGGTTAGGCATGGCTTGCCTTCACTGAATCCATGCTGACTGTTCTTGATCACCTTCTTCTCCACTAAGTGCTTAGAAATAGATTCCTTGAGGATCTGCTCCATGATTTTTCCAGGGACTGAGGTGAGGCTGACTGATCTGTAGTTCCCTGGATCTTCCTTTTTCCTTTCTTAAATATGGGAACTATGTTTGCCCTTTTCCAATTATCTGGGACCTCTCCTGGTCACCATGAGTTTTCAAAGATGATGGCCAATGGCTCTGCAGTCTCATCAGCCAACTCCCTCAGCACCCTTGGGTGCATCCCATCTGGCCCCATGGACTTGTATACTTTCAGCTTTTCTAAATAGTCCCTAACCTGTTCTTTCACCACTGTAAAATATCAGTAGTAAAATATGTCAAGTCCTACAGAAGATTGGAAATGGTAAAGTATTTGCTTTGCTGACTGACAACGCAAGTAATATGAAAGCAGCATGGGAGATCATAAAAGATAAATATCCACATGTTACTGCAATAGAATGTGCTTCTGATGGCCTAAACTTGCTTCTTAATGATTTCATGAAGTTGGACACACTGAAAATATCAGTAGTAAAATATGTCAAGTCCTACAGAAGATTGGAAATGGTAAAGTATTTGCTTTGCTGACTGACAACGCAAGTAATATGAAAGCAGCATGGGAGATCATAAAAGATAAATATCCACATGTTACTGCAATAGAATGTGCTTCTGATGGCCTAAACTTGCTTCTTAATGATTTCATGAAGTTGGACACACTGCAAAAGATCTATAATAGAGCAAAAAAAGTTAGAAAATATGTAAAATCTACTCATATTTCAGCTGCAATCTTTAGGAAGAAAAGTATGGGAAGAATAAAATGGTGACAACTCAAACTTTGTAGTAAAACTAGATAGGGTGAAGTGGTGATCTCATTTGAAAGTTTACTAAAGAACAAAGAAGCTCTTCAAGAAACAGTAATAATGAAAGATCTTACAGTAGTCCAAAGCGTAAGGAATACTGTACTTGATGAGGATGTCTTCTGGGTCCAGCTGCAAAACTCCCTGAAGATTATAAAGCCAATTTCTTCAGCAATCACTGTATCTGAATCAGACATGACTTATCTAATGGCTCAGATAAAAATCAACTGTGTTTGACAATGCAGGTATATCTCCACTTGCAAGTATGGAAGAAGGAAAAGTGAAAGACTTCACTAACAGGCAGGAAGAATTTTGTTGCCAGCCTATTCATGCTGCTGCAAATCTTTTGGATCCAAGATTCAAAGGTAAAAATGTCAGTGATAATAGGATTGCTACTGCATGTGACTGGATTACAAAACAAGCAACACATTTAGGACTTGATGTTGGCAAGGTACTTTCATATGTTGCAGAATATAAAACATGGTCAGGTATTTGGTCCAGGAGTGCAATCTGGGACTCTGCCAAGCATGTTCCTCCTGCAACATGATGGCAAGACCTTTATTACAGCTTTTTACTCCACTTGCTTCTCACCTGCTTCAGATTCCTCCATCTTCTGTAGCATGTGAAAGAAACTGGTCTACGTTTGGAAATATACACATCAAATTAAGAAATAAACTAGCCTGTGAAAGAATACAGAAGCTTGTTTCAATCCATGCAAAACTTCAGTATTCTGAAGTCCATGAAGATAAAAATGAAGGTTCAGATTCAGAATCAGAAAATACTGATATTTCAGAAACTGTCTGACTCTGATTAGACAAAGAAACTTGTGATGCTAATATTTTCAAGGATATATTTGATTGTTTTAAATGACATATTGGTTTCATGTAGCAAATTTTGTCTCTAGCGTTAGAAGATTTTCTTCTGAACTTTTTTTTTTAAAATATGAGTTTCTTCTATTTGTGGAGAGTGCTGTCTATATGGTGGAGACTTTCTAAGTCCAGATAATATAAACTTCCTTCTGTTTACTACAACATTGATGGTTTCTATTTTCAACTTTTTTTTCCCCCCCCCAAGTTCTCATTAGCTGACAAAAGCTAAGATATGCTTAAGTACCTTAGGATGCAGCAGCTTATAGCTCCATCTATGACAATAATTACAAATAATTATTTTAAATGCCTTAGTTTTATTCAAATAATAATAAGGCATTTATACTTTTAAATTTCATAAATATACCAAGCATTACAATGTTATCTGCTAATTAAGTTATATATAATATCGTCTATGTTCTTAAAGTAGTAAAATACATGTAGATAGATAAGAAAATAAATATGGCACATTTCAATTTTTCCAAAAATTTCTGATTTTTTTTGGAAAAAAACAGGAAAGAGCATATTTTTCCCCATGGTTTCAAAATGTCCATAAATCTTACATCTCTATTGTTTGCACACAAGAATATAAAGTAAAGGTCAATCAAACAAACCTAGTAGTACCTAGGACAGGTACTAACCAGCTGGCTTTGGAGGGAAGACTGTTTCAGTACAAGGCTTTGAAAGAGGGAATCAGGAAGATAAAAATTACTATTTTTAAAATCACCCACAAACAGGAGGAAGTTTTCCAAACAACTCCAAGAATTTATAGTTTGAAAAGAGTATGAAAAAGCAGAACTCTGAAAAAGCCAAAGTTATATGAAGTTATTGCCAATTAAAGGTGCCTGACTGATTATATCAGTGTTCTCTATTCACTCACAGAGCAAACCTTCTTGGCTATTTACTCATTCATAGAAACAGCACAAATAGCAGCGGTCCACCATACAACAAGGCACATTTCTGGAGGAGACAGAAAGGTATTCTAATCTCCTGACCTAATCAGTCATTCCATCCTACTTGTTCCACTAACAAGATTGCCAGTTGTGATATGGAGACTTGTCCACTTGGAGCCAGAAAGAGATCAACAACTCATTTAACAGAAGGTTTTGAGCAATTGATAGCATTAAGTTACAGAAACTAATAACCCTAAGCCTTATTCGAAACCAGCAAAATACAGGCTGAAAGCTTTACAGGCCGATGCAACTTTCAGAACCTAGGCTGTGTAGCCTGCATTCACTCCTTGGTTGTAAGATCCAATTTGACAGAAGACCCTTCATCAAAACATAGACCAGTTTTCCCCTCCTAATACTGTCTTAGTTGTAAAGAAGCAGAACTACAGGCAAAACTTCTTCCTCTGTTGTTAAATCAAGGTTAAAACAAGCTCAGCAGCAGAGTGAACAAACAGGATAAAAAAAGTATAAAAATGTGGTCTCACTGACTTTGAAATGCCCTTCCCAAAGTAATAATGAAATCAGCTGGTTGTATTCAAACTTCCATAACATACTGCTCACCTGCACAGGATTTCATAAGTCTCCAAGAGGTTACATGCTCGAGGGAATTTAAGCTCCTGTAAAAAAACAGGACAAGACATTGCTGATGTGTTATGGGTTTAAAAGGAAGGAGTAGAAAAAAAAGAGAATGCCAGACAATGTACTAAACACTGTGCAGATTTCTTGCCCACATCACAGCTCCACCAGCCCTTCTCAATGGGCAAACTACCAATACCACAAAGCAGGTTGTTGGACGCCACATAATGTCTTGGGAAGAAGCAACGTCCAGGCAGAGTACTTTATAATGCAAACTCAGCTATGGTGCCATGAAAGCTAGCAGCAGAAACATCAGGCACTAGGTGCCAGAGTTCTAGTTCCATATACAAGGCCTGGTTCAAAATGTTACAACAAAGAGAACTTTTGAAAACAAAGTATTCATTGATACTACCATTTGTCCAACCCCAGTAAATTGCAGAACCACATTCCGGCCATGGAATACAAATACAGTCTATTCCAGGAGGGTCATCAAATGACATGCTGTATTCAATGACCTTAGAGATTCTTCTCCACGACTCAACTCCTACTGACCTACAGAGCAACAGTCATGATGAATGAAACCCTAACTCCAAGCACTGACACTCCACTACTTCACATAAATTGGCCATCTAGTATTTGTAAAAACGTATGTTTCTTTATGAGCAAGTGGAGCCAATACTCTTATAAGGCTCTTGAGAATCTCAGGATAGACATACAAGCCCACTCTTACAGAAACATGACAAACACCACCAATCTCCAAGCACACCCTAGTTAGTAGCTGCTGATGAGAAAAAGAGCCCGATGGTCTGCCCTTTCAGCAGAAGAGATACCACAGACCAAGGGGGAAAAGGATTTTAAATGTGATACTGAAGGGACAGGATAATTTCTAGAGTGCTTCCCTGATGGTAGGAAGATGCTTTAGTTCAACATTTAAAATTGAAGTATGTCAAGATCTCCTTCCTACCCAGGTACAAAAGGAGTGCTATTTCCCAAAACAGGCTCATCTTACCTTCCAGATGGTTTTTGTGACATTCTTTGTGTCTATTATGACAGGAAACAGGCTGTGAATATTAGTCTTGAACTCTTCATAGCTTTCTGAAGGAAAGAAAACAAGAAAGGAACAAACATATAGAGGAAAAGATGCTGTAGAAAAGAGAAAAAGAAAACCTGGTGTTTTATGAAAACAGTGTTTTATAAAACAGTTTTAAGTATCTTTCTGCTCCCTGGTTTCATTATGTCACCAAAAAACTAGGAGCCGTACAGGAAAAGCAGTCCCTGCCCTAAAAGTGGAAGATCAGAGTCAGTTAACCAGCTTCTCCCCAGTCATTCTTATGCAGAGTGAATCATAAATCACTGAATCTTGTGCTGGATCTCTCTCCAACTGCGGAAAAAGTGTTTTTGGAGAGGGCTGGGCAATCTTGTCATTGCTATTACATAGGACATTACCTGGAAGGGGCCTGTAGAACTTATCATGAAGATGTAGAAGGTCCATCAGCATGTTATGTCCCACCAGTGGCTAGGGGAGAGAAGTATAAAACCCAACAGCGTATCAGCATGAAGATATGGCAAACAACACTAACTTCAGACCTGCCCAACAGCCACATAACAAGGTTTTTATTCCAAAGAATAAAATCCATGCAAGCCCATTCAAAAGTTGGACCACTTAGCATGATGTCACAGTAAGGTCAATGCCATCAGTGAGTTAAGACCTCTAAATGTTAGGGTAAGGAGGACATTAGCAGTAGCATTTTGTTAGAAGGTGATCTGAGAAACTTGAAGACAACCAGGCCTTTAAAAATCTCTGTTTCACTGGCTCAAAGATTTGTTTTGGTTCTCAGTTACAACTGTATTCTAGCATCTGTGAGCTCGAGAAGGGCCTTTCTGGCCTACATATCAACAGTGACAAAGTGTCTTACATGGGAACTTAGTCAACAGTTCTGTTAGAAAGATGCGAACTGCTATCCTATATCAGGCCCGTGGTCCACATAGTCCTAAACCCTGTCTGACAGAGACCAAGAGCAGATGACTTGCAACATCCTCTAAGTGGACCGCCAGACAAACCACGATAACCTGTGCAAAAGGAAAGTACCTGCTTAACTCTTTTGCTTGTTAGCTTATGCCCCAAAATGAGAGTTAACATTTCCAAACTCTTAGATCTTAATAAAAATGAGTCAGAACAGGCCCTGGTTCCTCTCCTATCAGTCTGCTCAACTTGGGGGGCCAGTAGGAGTGCAATGTAGTAAAATCTAAGTTTTGTATCAGTTAATTAAGGAGTAATTCTGAGTAAATCTCAGCAAAAAATTCAGTATGTAGTCAGATATCATGTGAAATAGGCATTATCTAACCATCACTATTATCTAAGTTATCTAAAAACTTTATCTAAACACTAACATTTGTTTGACTGACAGCTGAGAAGACGTTAACCAAGTCAGTCTGTACGGTCATTCAGTGCTCTAAATCAGTTTATTCATCTCTTACAAAATATCTTGCATACTCTATCACAACACTGCTACCATGGTAAACAAACCCATAGATGGGAATGGGGATGATGAGTTATACCTTCTTGGCTTTAACAAGCGTCTCGAAGAGGCTAGTGAAACCCCGGGCAGACAGGAGAATAAGCTCCTTACGGCAGAAGTCACAAGAAGTGTTCTCCAGATGCCAACGATGCCGGGGATTCATCTTTTCTACCATCACCTGAAAGAAACAGATACCAAAACTATAGTGAGGAAACCTACACAATGTAAAAACCTAAACATATTGTCTAGTGGGGCAGTGCACTGCTAGCAACAAAAGTGGTTAGCTGCATTAATCTGATATCAAGCAGATGGTAGGGTACCATAAGGAGACCAACCGGTTTGGAGTGGTATGAGCTTTCATAGGCAACAACCTACTTCATCTGATACTAGGAATGCATGACATGTAGCAACACAGAGCCAATCCCAACATAGCTGAAGCTGTGGAAGAAGCCTGTCAATATAGAAGGTGAAGATTGCCTTTGACAGGGGGCCGTCCCAGGGCCAGTCACAGCATGGGCCCACCAACCTGTCTACGGTAGTCAGCCCAAATTCGCCTACCACACCTTGAAGAAATCATAACCAGATGGGAAAATGTGGGAGGCTGCCTATTTAATGCCCTGATGCCAAGGGCACAATACACGGCTCTGACCTGTCATTTACCATGTCTCATGCCTTGCAGATGGCATCCAAATCACTCCCAACTTCCCTGGCTCCATTGTTGGGCCACACTTGGCCTCTGGTCCAAACCTGGTCTCAGGCATCCAAAGACTTACCTTGGCTGTATGCCCCCTCACTGGGACCTCAACTCCCACATACACTCTGAGCTCCTGCCTCTCATTAGGCTCCTAGCCCCATACTCTTTACCCCTCACTGGGGTCACTACTCTACTCCCTCACTGGGGCTTCTGGGCTTTATGCCCCTTGGGCCTCAGATGTCTGCTGACATGCCTGGACCCCACTCTTGGCGTATAGACCACTCAGGCCTCAGGTGTACATCAACATACCTAGACCTCACTCTTAGTCTGGCCTTCACTAGGCCTCACTCTTATTCCAGCCTCCCCCTAAGTCTCACTCATTCAGGCTTTGAGCCTTGGGCCCTCCTGGCCTCCCTGTGGTTGTCCAAGCCTGTTGCTTTTCTCTCAGGGTGTGCTTCCTTAGCCTTCCCTCCACAGCATCACCCTCAAGACAGGGGGGAGCGGAGGCTTTCCGGTGCCCCAAACTCACCTTTCACTAGAGGTGCACTGGTGTGGCATCTCCTGAGGACTGCCCTGCCACAAGCAGCCCCACCACTACCATCCTCCCCAGCAGGGTGTAGTTTCAGGTCACTCCCCAGGACCAATCGCAGGCCCACCTGCCCTGGTCTTTCTCCCTACCAAGCTGCTCGATCCTGGGCACCCTACCGCAGCCCCCATCCTATAAACTGCACTCATCCACTGGGCCCTCTCTCTCTGACCCCCTTATAGGATTCCTCCCCTCAGGAGGCTGGGCTTCAGCCTCTGTCATTTCAGCACAATTAGCTGAGCCTATCCTCCCTTTGGCAGCGATGTCCCCACCATCGAAGGGACCTTCAGCCTGTTTCCGGCTCTGGCCCCGCCTCCAGGCCAGTCGGGATGCCAGATAGCTCTCTGCAGCCCTGGCCTGACCCTCACAGTGGGCTTCACTGTCCTTTGGCCTTTCCGCCCTGGCCCCCTTCCATTGACCTGCTGGGATTCCTTGGCATCGGTGCAGGAGCAGCTGACCTTACTCAGCAAGGGTCCTCGCTGGGTCCCACCATAAACAGCCGTCTCTTACTGGGCTTGCCTAGAGGCCCAGAGATCTTACATGAGGCAGCCCTTCACTCAGCTGGGCTCATCTCCCTGGCCTCAGTCACTGCTAGTTCTCATTGGGACTTGCCTAGCCCCTCAGTAGACCCACAACTGAAAGCCCCTCCTAGGCTGGCTTCACTGTTCCTAGACCCATAGCTATTTCCTTGAGGCTTAACACCCTTGACCTCCAAATATTCCTGGGAGCAGAAGAGCTCTGGCTCAATGATGTTACTCTAGCAACATCCCTGCAACAACTGCCGACTCTGCTCCTCAGGGGCTGCTCTTATACTGAAGCTGCGCAGCCCTGCTCCAATCAGGTGGCCTCCTGGCTGTCATGTGACCACCTGTTTGGCCCTTGCAGTCACCTGCAGGCTGCCTCACAGCCTACTCAGACCTTTAAAGTGGCAAGCACACAATGATACACCACCACAGCCTCCTTTTCCTTCTCTGAAGAGTAGCCAACACCTAGTTAATAAATCAGATGTGGGCTCTGATAGGCGTCATATTCCAGCTTTCTTGACTAGAGTGATGATGACTATAATAGAGTCTTCCTCTTCCAGAGTATGAGTGACTTAGTGTTAATAAGGCTGCTAATAAGGCTGCTTAATGCTAACGTAAGTGACTTAGTGCTAATAAGGCTGACCACCAAAAAGCAAAGTCCGTAAAACAGGAAACAGGTCCTTTATTATATGGGCAACAGCAGCGGTCCATCTCCTTGGCAAAGTGAATCCATACCAATCCTGAGGACACACCTCTAGATGAGAAAAGGGATCTGAGTATATTTGCCTATCTTGCGACCTCTGACTTAAAACTAACAAAGGTGCTAATTGTGACTGATTTCTGTAAGATTTCTAAGCAGCCTACTGTTATTTGAATTGAGACTGCTCATGGAACCCAGCAGCTCCTGCTTTCATTCGAAATAGAAAAGGAGCATGCTAAATTCAAGACAGCGACCTAAATTTGAAAGGCTGTGTAGTCTGCTACAAGCCAGAAACAGAACAGGTCTAAGGTTTTGGCTACAGTAAGCCATCTCAGTGGCTGGAACTGCTGCTGGCAGACAGCAATCATCATATGGAAGCCAGAAGAGCGCTATCACACCCAAAGACTTCTGGCAGTTTCTCTACAACTATGGCAGCAGAGGCAAAGTGCATCTTGAGAAGGAACTGGCTGCTGGAGGACTGAAGCAGCCAACAGAAGCCTTTTTTCTGCACCACAGGCCTTGCACCACAGGCAAGCTCTGACTGTAGACCCATTCACAATTTTGCCAGCAGAACCATGTGGTATACACCAGGCCAAAGCCTTCCGGGTTACCACTAAGAACAATTTAATAGTGAAAAAAAAGCAACTAGTGATGGTTATACAGTACAATATTTGGAAATACACAAGAGGACTGAGGAGCCTGAAAATTCAGCAAAAATCATTTTAGTCGGAAGCACTCTGGGTTTGTGGAAACAACACAGAGCAACTTCTTCATAGTTAGAGTGTGCAGACTAGCATAAGCTCCATCCAGAGGTGTACAATCATGTACCATGGAGATCTTCAAGAGAAGACTGGACAGTCATTTTGCTGGGGTCATATGACCCCAGTTGTCCTTCATGCCTAGCACAGGGGGTTGGGACTTCATGATCTTGCAAGATCTCTTCCAATCTATGAATCTTAACCCCAAGGTATCCTCAAGAAAGAAAACCTGAATCATCCCCTTCACGCAGATCCTTGGTCAACCCTTCTCCTACAGAAAACTTTTCCACTAAAGTACCACCAAGAATTTCAAGTGCCAGCTGGAAGGATAGAGTGACAGAAGTGCCACTCCCAGAGGTCTTGATATTCAACTCACCTCATTATCTCCAGAAGGCTTTGTCCAAATATCAGGAAGCGCTCGTCTCAGAATCAGCTGCACCTCAAATATCTGAAAGCCTGCAATCAAAAGCAACGAGAGAGACTCAGAAGTGAAGAGATGTTCTGCTTGGTAGAAATTAAAACATGTTCAGTGGATGGGTCAAACTTGGAATTGGAAACCAAGGAAAACATTTTAAAATAGAGGGAATACACCAGACCCCAGAAGGGTAATGACAATATTCATTTCTATTTCAAATGAACTCGCTCTCTGTTAAGGAGTTCTCTCTTCAGTGAATACATACATAAATTAGTACATTTCCATGCTGACAGTGATGGGGGAAATGGGACACAGAAGTAATATTATACAAAAGAAAATTTGCGGGGACAAAGGAGAAAGATGATTGGGCACCTGTGTGGAGCATAGCCTGAAGACAGTCATGGCTCACCCTGTGGACCCCAACCACTTGGAAGTTGGACAGCCCTGGTTTAAGACAAGGAAAACAGTCAGACTGTCATACTATTCCAGAGATCCACCTCAGTTTTACATGGAGCCACAGACACCACAAAAGTCTTCCCCAAAAAACTCCCACAACAGAGCTGATTCAGGGAAGAGAAAAAAAAAAGGAATAGCAACATAATGAGGTAAAAATATGACAGAAACTGTAGTACTGATGGTGAACTGGGAATTTTATTTAAATGGACAAGTAAAAGTGTTAACACGATTGACAGCAACATGGATTGAACAAAGAGCAAAACCTGTATACTCAGCACACCTGCTCAAGGCACTGAGAAATCAACAATCTGATTTCATACCTGTTAGGTCAGAAACAACCATGGACTCCCCCTCTTCTGCTGAGGAGACCCAGCGCGTCACTTCATCAATCACCACTTTCAGTCTATCCTTGTCTAAAGTGCTAAAAGAAGATCAGGAAGAAAGGAACACAGACGTAAAAACAATGTTAAACTATACTCTGCTTTAGAGGAAGGAGGCCTGTTCATTTCTACTGTGGTCACTGTATAGAGACGCTCACAGAAACATCTTGACAGTTCACCAGACTCTGTATATAGTCCCCAAGGAAACACAAAGCTGGAAATCAGATGTTCTCTCAGATCATTACAATTAAGTACTCTGTCTACTTATGAAGCATTAAGCAAAGATTTAACTTTTACCTGCGGACTTTCCAATTTCCAGCAAAAAGTTCTTGCTGAAGTTTCTTCTCCTGTACCTCATTCACATATGGGATACCATCTTTAAGAAACTGAAGACAGAAAAAACCCAAAATAGCTGATTATTAACACTAAAAAATCCCGTGTTTGATAAACAAGTAAAACAGCAGCATGATAGGAACGCTCAAAACTGGCGTCTGTTTTGGGAGATTCACAACATTTCTAATACTATTCTTCCCTATTGCCTTCTCAACATGTTTCCCTCTTATTTTCTTGGAAAAATGCAGTAGTCAAAGCCTTCAAATAACTTGCATAATAAAAAAGTTGTATTTCTGAGAGATTCCAAAAGACTCAAAGGTAAAGAGGGAAAAATATAGAATGATGAGAGATTGTGGATGAGACACAAAGTTGGGGTCTTGGAAAATTGTAAATATAGAAGAACCAAAAGCTTTTTTTCTCCAAAGTCAGGGTTCTAATCTAGGTCTTCTGAGGAAATCCCCGCTTTGAAATTGTATCCAATTTAATTAAAACCTCATCCCACCACCAGTTTTACTTAGATATAACCCTCATGTGCCTTCAACTGTTGGAAAGTGCTGCTACATACTGGCACTAACTAATGTCCAACTAAAAGACAGCTGCACATCACAGACAGGTAAAATGAGCTTGTCTTGGTGAAGAGGTAAAGTTTGTTTTTGGGGGGAGGGGTCAGCACAAAGATAAATTCAGTAACTATTTTCTCAACTGAGTTTCTAGTCTCACAATTCTCATGTTGGTTCTTACATCCTCTGTAGAATCCCATAGGCAGGACCACAGCAGTTAATTACTGAAACAGCACTGAAGATGCACAAAAACCCATCTCAAACACACATGACCCAAGGTTATTCTCCCATCTTGTAGATCCTACATGGTCTGCAGCATGGGTGACAGCCTACACAGCAGGAAGGAAGAAAGTCTTAATAGGCCGAGAAGAGCAGCCATTTTTCTCTTAAGGTAGAACTGCCAAAGATGTGGTGGCTGTGTCATGGCTACAGAACAGTTTAAATTCCAATACCCTTAGCAAGAACCCAGTCCAAGTGCTCAAGGCAAAAAGCCACTTACAAAAGAGATGCAGGGTTTGAGCATTTTCTTTTCTTTTTTTAATGTTTTCCCCTAGCTATGCAAGTCACACCTCTGCTCCAGTCATTCACAATAGAGAGAACATACCTTGTTATAGTCAAACCCATAATGAGTCAGGAACTGAATGCTAGATGCCTGGAAGGAGAATTCCGAATCCAGGGTTCCAAACATTGTGGGGAAGAGGAAAAAGTTATATGAATGTGCCACATACCTACAAGAAAAAGAAGACATCTAAAACAGGACTGTGGTGAAAGACTGCCATACTATAGCCTCCAGCACAGATCCCAACTGCATTATCTCCATTTAACATAAGCCATGGGAAGAGCCCTCTTCACTTACTTGTTTGATTTCTCACTAGAAAATATCGACAAACCTGAAAGATACAAACACAAAGCCATAATACCGAGTTGAGCATTTGGACCCAGCTCCTGCTTACTGCAAAACAACAGGATGGGGCAAGTTCCCTTTAATATGCCATTTTATTAATTTACTAAGGCTGCTGCACTCTAATCAAGACAGTGACTTCTAGATCACCACTAAGATACCCTAATGGGGGTAGCATAGGCACAGGCTTCCCAGATAGTTCAACAGGAATAGGATATCAGCATGCAGCGAGAGGAACAATTCATCTGGGCTAGGATACAGTTGCTATGAAATAGCAGGGATGAGGAAAGCTGCTAATAAAAGTCATAAATTGTGTCATAGGTCTACGGGCCCAGTTGCGCTACAGGCAACACAACATTGGGAGAGATCTTATTAACAGCAGAGATATCCACTGACAGAGCTCAAGCATTATAGACATTTCATAGGGCTGGAAGGGACCTTGGAAGATCTTCGAGTCAAGCCCCCTGTCCCCGGGGGCAGAAAGTCAGCTGGGGTCACAGGATCCCAGCAAGACAAACATCCAAATGACCCTTGAAGGCATTCAAAGTAGGTGCTTGAACCACCTCCGATGGCAGGCTATTCCAGACCTTGGGGGCTCGAACAATAAAGAAGTTCTTCCTTATGTCCAGCCTGAAACGGTCTTGCAGGAGTTTATAACCGTTCGACCTTGTCATCCCTTGGGGCGCACTGGTGAACAAACGTTCCCCCATATCCTGGTGAGCACCCCTTATAAACTTATAGGCGGCCATCAGATCACCCCTGAGCCTGTGCTTTTCCAGGCTGAAGAGTCCCATAGCTCTCAGCCTCTCATCATAAGGTCTGGTTTCCTGACCTCTGATCATGTGCGTGGCTCTTCTCTGGACTCTCTTAAGCTTCTCCACATCCTTTTTGAATTGTGGAGCCCAAAACTGGATGCAGTACTCCAGCTGCGGCATCACCAAGGCCGAGTACAACAGGAGAATGACATCCTGGGATTTGCTTGAAAAGCATCTATGGATGCAAGCCAGGGTTTTGCTCGCTTTACTAGCCGCAGCATCACATTGAAGGCTCACGTTCATCTTGTGGTCCATCCTGACCTCCAAGTCCCTCTCATCCATAGTGCTAGTCAGTGTAGCACTGCTGAGCCTATAAACATGCTGCAGGTTTTTTCTCCAAGGGTGGAGAACCCTGCATTTTTTGGTGTTAAACACCGCCAGGTTCTCATCCACCCATTTCCTGAGCCTGTCAAGGTCAGCCTGGATTACCCCCCTGTCCTCAGGTGTGGATGCTTTACCCCAAAGTTTGGTATCATCAGTGAACTTGGCCGGTCTGCTTCTGACTCCAATGTCCACATCATTAATGAAGAGGTTGAACAATATAGGTCCAAGGACAGAGCCTTGTGGGACCCCACTGGTCACAGGGGACCATGACGATTGACTTTGTCAACCACCAACCTCTGGGTCCGACCACAGAGCCAATTTCTCAGCCAGCGGATCATGGTGGACCCGAGGCCGCAGTTGGCCAGTTTTGCCAAGAGGTGATCATGAGATACCAGATCAAAGGCTTTTTTAAAGTCAAGATATACGACATCAATCTCTTCCCCCTTGTCCAGGTGATAGGTCACCTGGTCATAAAAGGAAATGAGATTGGTCAAGCACAACCTACCTGCAACAAACTCATGCTGGCTATCTCTCAGGGTGTTGTCATCGGCCAGTCCGTTAAGAATGGCCTCTTTCATAATCTTTTCCAAGACCTTCCCCAGGATAGAGGTCAAGCTGATGGGCCTCTAGTTCCCCGGATCTACTTTCCTCCCTTTCTTGAAGATAGGCACCACATTGGCTTTCTTCCAATCATCGGGCACTTCACCAGAGCTCCAGGAGCTCTCGAAGATCCGTGCCAGGGGCTGAGCTATGATGTAGGCCAGCTCCTTGAGTACTCTGGGGTGTAAATTGTCCAGGCTGGCTGACTTGAAGGTGTCCAGTCTCGCAAGGTGTTCCTTCACGAGGTCAGCATTGATGGAGGGCAAGGAACCACCCTCACTCAGGCGTGAGGTACAAGGCCCCTAAAACAGCCTCCAAAAGCCAGACCCAAGGCTTGGGAGTCTTTAAAAATGATCTGCAAGCAACGTTTGGGATGGGCTTTTTGTCTTTTAATTATTTCTCTCTGAAAGCTTTTCCCTTTACCAAAACCTTGGAAAGAAAGGGCCCACCCCACCTTGATGAAGGTGCCTAAAGGAAGGCTTATATAGCCTAAGTAAAATTGTTGAATTTATTGTAAAGGTACTCATGAATTAAAATATGCATTCATCTCAAACATTAGAGAGGCGTTAACAGAAAACCAAAACATTATAGTCTGACTAAATACCCTTTCCTTTTTCTTCCCTCAGTTTTCTGTCCTTTGTAGTGTCAGAAATTCAATAGTTTCTGAATCACCGTAGAGCAGATAATACAGACAGGTCCTGGATTTCTAACATAAAAAGGTTGTTTCATTGTTCATCCTTTTTCTATATTTTTCCTGCTTTTGTTTTATAAAAGAAACAAGGCGATTTCATCCCTGCAAGGTTATCTTTCACGTGCCTCAAAGGTATGGACATCCCTAAACTACAAAATGAAACAAGCCTTTAATTGGGTCACCCGATGCTTTTGTACTGTAGATGAATTTAAGAGCATACATGAAAGAAACACCTTTCAAAACAATGCCCGCTCTCTCTTCAGACAATGGAGACTGCTGCAGTAATAGCTCAGATACTTCCCTCCCATCCCTGTACTGATTCAAACACACTGCAGCACAAAGCAGCAGATGCAGAAAACATAACCACCTAGATATCTAGGTTGACAAACCTATGGTAGCCTAACAATAATAGATGTTTCATGCCAGTACCTTTACCTTCAACAACAATCCAAAAAAACGGAGAACAAAACAGGGCTTGGTAAAGCAACATATTTCACTGTCAGGGCTCAGGAGAATTAATATTGCATAAGACATTACATCTGAGAATCCAAGTGCTTATAAATATTAATCCTCACAAGAACCATGTGAGATAGCCTTCCCATGCCCCAATATGCTCATGTATAAAATGGGGTAAATTTCCATTTCTTGGACGCAAAACAAAGTCGCAAAACAAATCAATGGCAGCCTAGAACAGGACCTAGCCTGACTTCTGCAGTTTTTCCATTAAAAAAGACAGGTATCTCAACACTGCTCTTTTAGGAGCAATACCAAATAGAGTTAAAATTCATTAATAACCATTCTGAATTCAAATTACTTAAACTGTGCAATAACATGACCATTAGTAAAAAAAAAAAAACCAAACAGATTTACCATGGGGGACAATAAGTGGGACCTGAGAAAAGAAACTTGGAAGAGCAAAACTGTATCCTTCCCCCTCCCAGAAGAGCCTCTAAACCTTTGCCCAGACCAGATGCTTCACATCAGTAAACTTCAATGTTTGTCATAGGAATGCAGAAGAAGAAATAGATTTTTTTTTTTTACAAGAACAAATGGAAGGGCTCACCAAGCTGGCACACTGTGAACTGCTGAACACTCCGTCTGGCCTTCAAATACCGCTCAGCAGGGGAATCGAAGAGACTATTTAGCAGTCACAGGGAGGGGGAGGAAAAGATACTCCTGTAATGCACCATTTTAGTTTTTTCAGAGCAAAACTATGGCAAATCCTGCTACTGTTTAAAATCACTTTCTCTTACATGGGTTTTTTGAGTCTGGCAACTTTACCTAAGCTGTTTGCCTTCTGGAAAGGCTGAATGTAAACCTGTGTACTCCATATCAAGGCCTGTTGAGACAAAACAAAGAGATGCCAGAGCATTATATCAGTGTTTTGCCAGTCTTTTGCAACTGCTTCAAAAGGGTAAGGCACCCCGAAAGATGTACCCTCCCAGTCTGAATGCACCTGACAAATCCTGACCTAACAGTAAAATCAAAGGAAAGAGTCATCCGTGGTATCATGGAAATTAAATTGTCTTCTCCTTTTCAGTCCGTGCATTATTCAGCCACACCATGGAGAGGCTAAAGTAGGACTCTTTTGGAAAGGAAACTACTTCAAAACATTCACTTGACAATGTTTTCCCAATCTAAACTAGTACCACTTAATTCACCCTGGAAAGCCCGACCACCATCATTTAAAATACCTGAGAAGTTGTTTTGTTTTGTTAGGTGAGTTCTGGTGCTTTTAATTACTAGAGAAAATCACTGACAGATTGTGGCAATATTGTGGCAGAGGCAGAACAGGAGGCAAAAAAGGGACAGTTAATGAATTCTCACGTTCATGGTTAAAGCTGAAGCTGTTTTGACATGGATACAGAAAAGTCTCCTACCTCTTCCCTTACCCCAGACATCAACACAGAGTACAATCTATTTGGATGCCTTACCTGTGCATCCCCCTGCTTTCGACATTTTTAAGTTTAATCTTAATTCAGTATTTCTATTTAAAATATTAGTTGCAACAATCTGGTAGTACTGATTATTAAAAAGCCTTATAGATACGTTAGCTAGATCTTAACTTCGATTTAAGAAAATCATCACTGGGAAAATAACCTGTTCTTCATTTACAGATCAGATTGGAATGGAAAATTCTGAGGAAGAGGAATATGGAGGGGGGGGCGCATCACATTCTTTTTCTACTGCAACATTTTCATCAGCTGAGATAAGAAACTTGATTAGATGACACCCTAAAATGAACGAATGGAAAAAGCCTTGAGCTTTTAAGCTGAGATACTCGTAGGGTTTATTTATACCAGAAAATCTTGCTACTTCAACTGCGGTATGATGTAGAGAAACCTCCCCGCAGCACAGGTGCAATCATATCGGAAACCCATTTTTAACCTGGTCCATTTGGGGAACCAAAATGAAGTACGATGCAAGGGACTTCATACTGTTGTCAGTACTGCCACATTAGGGCTTCTACCACAGCAACAGCAACCAGCTGCAGCCATACCCCTTACCTACTGTATTATAGTATATTATACCCAATTATAAGTTGCCCCACATTTTCAAGTTCAATTTTCAGACAATTACCCCCCCGCAAAAAAAAAGTAATTAGCTGCAGATAAGACCTCAAACTGCCATTGCCCTAACAGAGCCCCACAGGAGACTCAAATCTCACAGGGAAGGACTCAGTATGAAATGCACTAGAAATGCCACATTAAAAAAAAGCTAGATTTGGTAATTTTATCATATGCACAAAAATACTGCATTGTCATGATGGCAGGGGGCCTAATTATAGGTCACAACCCTGTGTATGAATCAAGTGTAATTTTTTTTATCCTTTTGGAGGGAAAAAGGCCAACATCACCAGGTGCATAGCAATACCAGTAAAGCATTTGCGCGCAGACCAGCCCCAAAAGCCACTTCCTTGACCAGTCCCTTGTTGAGGCTCATGCAACATTCGAACTAATGAGGGAAGAGGCAGGATGAAGCAGCAGAAATCGCTGGAGGGAATAGAAGGGGCAAGGGAGGATTTTGAACAGGCAGCACTAAGGCAGCTTTTGGGAGGCATTAATTGCACCATGATACCTCTCCTGCCCCTGAAAACCAGGCAGCTGAAAAATAAGTTATACAAAGACCAGGGGAGAAGAGTTTTTCAGTGCTTTTCTCCATCTTCCTCAGCACCAGTGCTCCTCTTCAGGGTCTGCTCTCCTGTCCTGTCTATGGCAAAGAGGCTATGGCACAGACAACCTTTGTGCAGTCAGTACAACAGACTGGGAAGGGGGCAGGCAGCACAGCGGCTGACTGGGCAAGAAGCAGAAAATGGCTGGGAGCAGAAAGCAGAGCAGTGGATTGGGCAGGGAGCACAGACCTGGAGCAAAAAGCCAAGCAGGCAAGGGAGCTCAGGGCAGAAAGCAAAGCAGCCGTGTGAACAAGGAACGCATGGGAGAAAGCACAAAGCAGAGCAGCAGAGGAACACAGGGAAGGAAGCAAAAAGCAGAGCAGGAGATCAGGCAGGGAACAAAAAAACCAGGCAACAGATAGGGCAAGGAAAACAAAGCAAGAAGCAGAAAGCAAAGCGGCACATTAAGCAGGGAGTACAGGGTAGGGAACACCAGGTGGAGCAGAAAGCCGAGCAACAGGTCAGGCACACAACAGGGAGAAGGTGGGGAGTGGAGCAGCCGCGCGACCCCACCCTCACCCAGGAAGGCGGCGCCCTGCACGAGGCGCTGCAGCCGGGGCAGGCTCCGCTCGAAGCGCCCCGCCCCCACCTCCATGTCCCTGCCGCGCCCGGGCCTCGCACCCGCGATGACGTCACCACCCTCACCCCGCGCCCGGGGTTTTTTGTGGTATTTTTTTAAAGAGACCGGCCGCGAAGCGGGGGCGGCGCGCGGGCGCCTCCTGCTGCGGGGAGGCTGCTCCCACGGCCGGTGGGGGAGGGGGAGCTGCGCGCGTGTTTCACCAGCCTGGGGGCCAGGCTCCCCCCGGGACACGCCGGTTCTCCGTGCCCCTGGGGGTTTGACTCCAGGGAAATCCTACAGCAACCCTGTTGTAAAACCAAACGGCGGCGCCTGCAGGAAAGGCAGGGCAGGGAGCAGAAAGCGGAGCAGCAGATCGGGCAGGGAGTCCGGGGGTGGGGGAGCAGAGAGCAGTGTGGCAGAAGTGGGCAGGGAGCAGAAAGAAGCAGCAGCAGAGCAGGCGGGGAGCATGAGGTAGGGAACCAGGCTGCAGAGTGGGTGAGGAGCAGAAAGCAGAGCAGGCAAGGAGCACAGTGCAGAGAACCGAGCAGCAGGGCAGGCAGGGAGCAGACAGCAGAGCAGCAGATCGGACAAGGGGGTGGGGGGGCACAGAAAGCAGAGCAGCAAATTGGGCAGGGAGCAAAAAGCAGAGCAGCAGATCAGGCAGGGAGCACAGGCGGTGGCCCCTTGTCGAAAATGACTGCACTAGCGGTTGGAACATAAAAACAAGCACTGCCATTTGCTGGGTCAGACCACAGGCCCACCTGGCCCAGTCGCCTGTGTCACACAGGGTCCACTTCCGGGCCGTCCATTGCCACCTGCTCGACACACTCATGCTCCGCACCCTCCACCATCCCTCCTTGCCTGGACACCAAGTGGGGGGACATGCTCAGCAAGGATGAGGTGGAAAAGCACGCACTCCGCCTTGATCCAGCAAGCCACCGGCAACCTCAGCTGGTACCTCCTGCCTAGAGCCATCACCATGGGTGTGCATCTGGTGCAGTTCAGAGACACCCCCAACACCTGTCCCCTTGGCAAGCAGAGGGAGACCCTGGCACGTGCGTAGCTGGAGTCCACCAGAGCCTCTTGCTGAGGGTCTGGCTGCACGACTCCCTGCACCTTTTAATTTATGCATTCCCATTTGCAGCCCCACCAACTCCCAGGACCTCCTGATCAACCTCCTCCCGGCCATAGCTAAGCTGGTGATCTCTCTCACCAGGAGGGAGAGAGGACCACTGGGTATTGCAGGGCCATTCCCTCATCCAATTCTGTGTCCAGGTAGTTTTATTGGACATCATCCACTGGCTCCTTGGACTCATTTGAGGACCAGTGAACACTGTCCAGTGTGCTCTGCTCCATGTCCATCCCCCCACCCCCCATGCACTCAAATATATGACCCTCACTCCTTTCCCTGTTTTCCTTTTAGTTTTCCCAAAAATTCACTTATGTCTTCAGTGGCCCCCCTCTTAAAGGATGCTTATAATTTAACTTGGTGGGCTTTGGACCATGCCCAATGACATAACAAATAGACCTGTGTCACAGTGGCAGAGAGAGGATGCTGGAAGGTAGAGTGAACCGAGTCTGCCCAGGGTCCCCCACCCCCCTTCCTCTCTCACTTGCAACCTCCAACATTTAAGGTCCAGAAGTTCTGATTCAGAGGCTAACTCCCATGCTCAGTAGCTACTGATGCCCCTTTCCTTCAAGCAGTAGCTCCTATAGGATCTTCTTCATTTGGCCCTCACACAGTAAACTGAAGTTTTGAAGAAGTCTGGAGGTATTAGATGTGGTCAGTAAACTCCAAAGGACCTGCTGTGGTTCCGGTTTTACTTGTGGCAGGTTAGGTTGCTAGGTCTGTGTTGTGTCAGGGCTGACAGTCTTATGTGGAGGTTAGATTATGAATTGTATAGAAAGGTTTGAATAGGATCCTGCCTCAGGCAGGGGTTGGACTAGATGACCTCTGAAGGTTCCTTGCAGTCCTACTTGTCTATAACAAGACAAAAGTTGCATTCTTTTTACCAATATTTAAAAAGGCTCTAAAAGCACAAGTAGGTGATGGTAGGGCAATTAGCCTATCACTCATCCATAGGCAACATTGGAGTAAGGTTATTATAGAAAGTAATAAGTAAAGAATTGCAGGAAAATAATAGAATTAAGACTAACCAGCATGTGTTTTTAAATAGCATGGCCTAGTTTCTATGCAAGACAATCATGGGTTTTATAAGGAAACTGTTGACAGGATTCCTTCTGTAAGGTAGTCATCTAGATATTGCACAATATGCAGACAAAAAATTACAACAGTGTGGGGGAGGAGGGAACAACTTATTTGATAGGCTTGCTAGTTAATAGCTCCCCAAGTGCCACTGTTGTCTTTTGCTGTCCAATAAGCTGTTTTCTGCTTCCTGCCCTGTACTCACCACCCAATCTGCTGCTCTACTTCCTGCCCTATCTGCCACTGTGCTGCCTGTCCCCTCCTCATTCTGCAGCATGCCACTTGCAACACACATGTTGTGGGTGGGCCACCCCTCTCACCGTATCAGTGCAGCACATATTACATTGATTTGGAAGCTGACTACAGCCAAAGGAGGCATTTCTTGATGGCTTTCCTCCCCACTTTCAGTGGCCAGTTCTTTGTCCATTGTGATGTCATATCTACCAATACTACAGAAAATAAAATCACTGCTAATAAGACTGGCAAGCAGACTGGTAAATAGTAACAGATCCATTACACAAAGAAATCTGGCTCACTGGGCAATATAGGTTCATTTGAGGAAGTGTTGGTCACATCTAGGAAAAAATGCAGGCCACATAAGCAACATGAAGGACCAAACCTTGCAGATAATTATGTTGTGATGAGCTAACTGATCATCATAAACTCCCAGTACAGTGCTATGAACAATAGAGCTAATGGGATTCTTCAACATACAAGCAGTAGAGAGATGTATATAGCACTGGTAAAACCATTACTGGAATAGTATTTAGACCTGGACCTAGGACCCACACTTAAAAAAAGAAAAGGCTCAATAGTGAAAGGGTTCAAAAGAAAGATGTATAAATAATGTAAGGGAGTATAGCCTCATTATCTCAGTAAGTTAATAGGATGCTTGTTCAATTATAAAGGAACTGTTTCTCAGAAAATGTAAAGTTCAAATAACAAGGCTAATACTATAATTCTTATAAGAATTATAGTATTATTTAAACAAAAGTTTAAATAATACTATAATTCACCACTCAGGCACGTACAATTTTAGGCATAAATGTGACAAGCTAACCTAACAGGCCATGAGACAGATCTGGCCCGCATATCTGCTCCCTTGCTGCCAAATATCTGGACCCATGAAGAACCATGGGGCCCTACACACTGGATAGAGTACCAAGTCCCAGGGCCCAATCCTGGTTTTGGGGGGGGTCAGGAGGGGGCGGTGCCAGGCCCTGAGACCCAATCCAGTAGGCAAGGGTTGAGAGGGGGCTGTGCTGAGCCCACAAGGGGTGGGAGTGGTAGAGGGCTCCTGGGACCCAATCCCAGCACATGGGGTAGCGGGGGTGGGAAAACAGTGCCAGGCCCTAAGGCCCAATCCAGCCTAGACACTAGCTCCATGCAAATCATCTGGCCCATGGGGCCAGAAGGTTGAGCACCACTGGGCTAGAAGATTATCATAATTTCCTCCTCTGGTCTTAAAAAACACCCTAATCCGCTTCTAGAATTTTTAGTAAAAGGAAAGAAGAGACAGCAGCATTTAGTTTTATTAAATAAAACTTTATTTTAAGATACTATACTCCAATTTGTTCCAGCTCTGGACCTTAATTTCTCCGGTGCCCTTTTCTACATGACTCTTGATTTTCCTTCGCAAGAACTTTCTCCAGCAGTCTCCATGTTATTGATAGATTCTTCGTGGCTCCCGCAGGACAACACCACCATCTGTCATGGCTTTTTCAAAACTCTGGAACTGGTTTTAATAAAAAAAGAAATGCAAAGCTTTAAGAGCAATCTAAACATACTGAGCCAGATTCTATTCCACCTATTAGGCATCTAAGTGCAATTTTATTACACCCTGCTCAAGTCCCTAACAAAATTTGAATACAGAAGTAGGGCAAGTCCTCCTCCCACTGCTGTTTTGTGACAACATTAAAAAATGACGGTATGGATTTTTTGTAGCTTTGGAAAAAGAGTAGAACAGAAGTGTACTTAGGCATCCAATACGCTCAATAGAATCTGACTCCGTGTGTCAGCAGACAGCATCAGATAGGCATCCTAAGCTACAAGGCATCAGAACTCAGATACTCCATGCAGGCTATAGTAGGCCCTCAGCTGCTTAATGACAATATGGTCTAGCACTTCCTTGCATTTGTTTGAACAAATTAGGGTAAAGAAGAGGCCAAGGAAATGAGCAGGCCAGAGGATAATACAAAGGTAACAACCTTTTTTTCCATTCTATCTTGAAATTTTTAAAAACTAGGCAACCTTTAGCCTAGAGGACATTTAGTGGTCTGATGCTAGACAAGACCAATTTTAGACCAGATACAGCTCATATGGAATAAAAACCGACATCTGCATATTAATTAGAGCAATGGTTTCCACAGGTGTCCATGGCCCCGAGCAGGTTTCAGGGGGCCTGTTCAACCCAACGCAGGGAGGAGCCACCTCAGCCCCCTAAGGTTTGGATGAGTCCTAAGGAAGGAGAGGGGGCAGGCCCACCCCAGTCTGCCCAGCCCCACAGCCTTCATTTTGTGAGCAGTGCTGCAGATGGGCGAGGCTCCATACAGCTGCTGCTTAGGTGAGTGGGTACCCGGGGCTCCCTGACACTGAGACCCACCCACTGCACCCAGGACCATGTCAGTAGAGCTGGGGGGGTGGGTGGTGTCAGGCTGGTCTTCTGTGCAGGGAGCAGCAGCAGCTCTGCAGGGCCGAAAAGAGCTGCTGGGAGGTGTCAGTTGGCAGATGCCGCAGATATGGACGG